TACTTATTTTATCACAGTGTTGTGTGTTATATTTAAAATCGAGACAGAGGATATATGTTCTGTTCTTTCATTTTTGTACCAAAATAACGCTACACTGACAGCAATTTACGTCTTACATTACATATGGGGACGAAGATGGAAAAATAAGGTCTGAGGTCGGATAACATTCTAAAAATTTTGAAACCATTACAGTTTATTACTCAGAAATATAAAAATATAGAAAATGACAGCAAGAATATAGTTTCATATCTTCACAATGTCAATATCTTACTATTGTATCACGAAATTTTTAGACATTCAACGATTTGAATAGATTGTACGTTAGCGGATACAGCCAATCAGAGCTCTCGACAGAAAGACTGTAACAATTTGGTTGCGAGTGTTATCGAGGGATCTGATTATCTGTATTTGCTAGCGTACAATCCAATCAAATCGCTGCCTTTACACACTTCTTTTGTTGCTATGCTTGCGTTTTCATCTAGCAAATCATTGGCAACTCACAAATCACAGCTGTACAACCGTTGATATATAAAGTGTCAAAGACTCGCCTGCTGATATGGCATATGTCATTTTGAATACTCTCTATTTAGGTTTAGATAGCTATTTTGTTATCAATACTGACTCATTTCATCATTACTTCATACAATAATTTGTAAACAGTAATCATGCTTACAATTCGAGTATTGGGTGTGTTCGCCGTTATTGTGCTCGCATTTGTTTTGGTAGAGTCTGACGTTGAACTTTGTGAAGACGATGTGAACGGTAAGAATAGCCTTAGATGTTATTATGAATGCAAAGAAACTTGGGAATGAAATGGTGTTTTTACATCATAAGTTTCGACTTTAGTTTGAGCTAATGAAGACTGTAGTGTGTATTTCCATCTAAATAAGTCAAGACTGCAAACCCATGGAAACAAATATATAATAACGAAACAATCAAAGCTGAAAATGACGTGATAAACATACAATTGGGTAAAATAATTATTATGACGCAGCTCACAGTATTTACCTATTTAATCATTGTTCATTCTCAAACCTACATTATAAGCTGATTATATATTTATTCATTTTAGTTTGTCATGGTGAACTTCCAGCCAATGCGATGTGTTCAGGAGAGAATAATAAAACCAAGCGATGTCAGTGTAAAAAGGGATATAAAATGAGTCTGGATATCGATTGTACATCGAATGGCTCGGTATTTTCCTGCCAGGGTAAGGGTTCTATCTCCGCTGGGGTAGACAAAGGAAGACATTTTTTCTTTTTGTTATTTTTTTCTTTTTTTTTCTTTTTTATTTATTTTTTTTTTAGTCTTGTCAATTTATCTACAGAAAACCTGGAAATCTTATAGAGTTACAAAAGACTCAAAGTTCAAGAAAAGGCCTCATTAGTGAATTGACAAGGGTACTTCGGGCCACTCTCGGTTCTGTTTACAGCCCTAATAATCTATCTGCTGTTTTCTTCAGATATAGATGAATGTGCAACCAATAATGGATCGTGTGAATTTAAATGTCAGAATGAACC